TGTGGGATTAAAGGGAAAAATCGTTCAGTGAGACATGTTTGTCCGCCCACGTCCCACAGTCATGGTGTATATACTGTAACCCTAAATCAAGGAATTGAAGCCACTCAATTTTTGCAAACGAAGCCAATAGTGTTTGCGTGCATTTATAGGATACACTAAACCGATACCACGCTAGAAGGGGGTAAGGTGGAAGAAAAAATGTCGCTACTAAATCTTTAATTCACTCGTGCGTGATCGTTTGATATTTAATAACCATCACGAGGGATGGGATGTACATTAAAGCTAAAAAATATTACAATTTTGAATGAAATATCAAATCGAAAAGTTATATAGGTAATATACAAAATAATACTATGTAAATTAAAAAAAAATTAGTAAGTTTCAATAATATTTGTCAGACAAGAGGAAAATTAAAATCCATCATATTATGCTGTTCGGACCATACTTAGGTCACTTATCATTATAAATTATAATTCATACAAAGAATAATTATACAATATTATAATACTTACAATAATCAAATGGTGCTTAAATTCTTCAATCCGAGAAACGATGTTGATCTAATGATGTGTTCAAAAATCATAGGATCATATAAATGGAAAATTCTATGAAGCCTTACAATTGGTCCTTTTTAGATTAGGTTTGTTCAATAACTCATTAGTTATAACTTATAGCTCATAAAAATGTAGTAGGTATAGTTCTTGATTTTTGTTCAATTAAAACTAATTTAAATATTATAAAACTCAGTATTTTAATTAAACTACATGTTGATTCAGCATTTCAACCTGTATATTAATTGAATATACTGCTGTTTTTCGTAGTTTACTTTATGGTTTTACCTACGTTCGATTTTTAGAAATACGTCATTCAAGATTCACCGTTGATAATTGTAGTGTTTCAAGATTTCTGGTAGATATATAAATTATACACAGAAGACTTATAAGAAACATACAAAAAATAGTTAAATGTAGTTAGAATTATCAAGGACCTTTTATAATAAACAATCAATTAATTTTTTTTTTTTTTTTTTTTTTTTATTGTTCCTGAAATTTACAATTTCTGCTTCGACAGCTAGGTCATTAGCATAGCATTATAAGCATAATTACATACATTTATAATATGGAAGGTAGAGAGAAAAAAAAAAAAAAAGGACAATAGAATAAAATAAACTAACAATTAAGATAAGACAGTTATGAATTAGTTATTTGGTATTTGGTACATTGTAAGTGTTGACTAAAGTAAATTAAGTATTTTAATTGCTTTAAAAAATTTAATGGTGTCGATTTCGTTATCTGGATTTGGACCTAGGCTAGTTCCAATTTGATGGCTTATATTGAGATCCTCTCTTTGTTTTTCGTACATTCTACATTCTTCAAAGATGTGTTTGATTGTAATTGTGGTACCGCATGATTGGCATAAGGGTGGGTCGCCTTTATTCATTAAATATTCATGAGTCAGTCTCGTGTGACCAATTCTGGCCCGATTTAGTTTTTTTTCATCTGAGGTGCAGATATTAGGGTTTCTTCTCCATCTTTTGACCGTTTGTTTAATTTGGTTTAATTTGTTGTTTTGTGTGTTCCATACTTTTTGCCACATTAGAATGGTGTCTTGTTGTATTTGTTTTCTTACATCAGAATAAGAAGCAATGTTGATAAACTGTGAGTTTATTGATCCGATAGCTAATTTTGCTTGTTTATCTGCCTTTTCATTACCTATTATTCCTATGTGACCAGGTATCCAAATTATAATTATATTGTTGTTCTTTTGGTTTGCTTCTACTAGTTTATTTTGAATTTGGGTTGCTAGATCACTAGGATTAAATTTATTTTTTATACTAGTTATCGCGCTTAACGAGTCACTTAAAATAAAATATTTTTGGTTTACATTTTTGTTTATGTGTTTTATGGCTAATAATATAGCAAGTGCTTCGGCTGTATATATGGAACATGTTGATGGTAATTTGAATGATGTCTGTGAATTGTTTTTTATTATGGCTAATCCTACTCCTTTGTCACTTTTGGAGGCGTCGGTATATAATTCCTGGAATTCATTTTGGTTCTCAAGGATATTTTTCAGAAGGTTTTTATATATATGTGGAGGTGTATTTTCCTTGGGTAGGGTATTCAATTCTGTGTTAATTTTATATAGGCTTATCCATGGTGGGTTAATTATTTTTTCTTTTGTTATTATTTGTGGAATCTTGGTGTAATTTTGATTTTTTTTTAGTTCTAGGGTTATGTTGTTAGTTGATGCTGGGTTATTTATTAATCTTGTTAGTCTCGCAGCATATATAAGAGTCAGCTCTGTTCTTTTGAGATCTGGCGTTGGTTCTCCCGCTATATTATAGATACTTTTAATTGGGCTGCTTTTGAATGCCCCTATAGCCATTCGCATCCCTGAATTGTGATTAGAATCAATATATTTCATTAATGTGTTTTTTGCTGAATTATATATAAAAGAACCGTAATATAGTTTAGCTTGTATTGTTGATTTAAATATTTTGATCAACGTTTCCGTTTCACTACCCCAATTTGTGTGTGATAATAGTTTTATCAATCTAAGTGCTTTGTTTGTAGATATTTTCAAAGATTTTATGTGTGGCGACCATGTGAGCCTAGAATCAAATGTGATACCTAATATTTTTATGCATTTTTTGTTGGGTATATTTTTATTATCAATTTTAATGTTAAGCTCCACTACATTTGATTTCCTAGTAAATGTTATGCAGTTTGATTTTTCTATTGAAAAACTGAAGCCTGTTTTTGCTGACCATTTTTCTAGGTGTTTTGCTGTTACTTGTAAGTGATATTGTACTGTTTTGATATTTTTACTTCTACAAGAAAAATTTGCATCATCAGCAAATATGTTAGCTTTTATGGGAAATTTACAATGTTTGTCAATTTTGTTAATTGCCACTAGAAATAGTGTAACTGAAAGGGCGGATCCTTGTGGTACCCCATTTTCCTGTGTGAAGGTGTCAGAGAGTTGGTTTGAAGTTTTAACTTGGAATGTTCTATTTTTTAGGAAATTCACTATAAAGTTTAGCATGTTACCGTTACATATGACTTTATTTAATTTTGATATAATATAATGTCTCCAGGTGACATCATAGGCCTTTGATATGTCAATACTGAGTAAACCTAAGAATTGTTTATTTTGTAGAGCTTGCTGAGCTTCTTCTTTTATTGTGGTGAGAATGTCATACGTGGAACGATTTTTTCTAAAGCCACTTTGGAAAGGCGTTAGATAATCTATTTTTTCCAAAAACCAAATGAGTCTAAAATTAACAATTTTTTCAATTACTTTACACATGGTATTTAATAAGGTGATTGGCCGGTAACCTTCTGTCTTGAATCTACATTTTCCGGGTTTATTAATAGGAATAACTATGCCGTTTTTCCATGATGAGGGGAAGGATCCGTCACACCAGATGGTATTATAGATTTTTTCAAGTATAATTTGACTTTTTATACCGAAGTGTTGTATAAAGATAAATGGAATTCCGTCAGGCCCTGGGCTTAAACTTTTACATTTTTTTAATGTGCATACTATCTCGTCCCTTGTTATTTTTGAATTCATATGTATTTGATTTTCGTTGTTGTGATCAACGATATTAATAATAGGTGTATTTTCTTTTTCATGTTTAAGTTTGACAAAGTTTGGACTGTAAGATGTGTTGTTACTATTTGAATGAAAGTGCTGTCCTAATTTGTTGGAGATTTCATTTGTATTAGTAATTAGTTTATTGCTGTTTTCGTCGATTAGGTTTATTTTGTAGTTGCGTTTAAGTCCTTTTAATGAGTGTATTTTGTTCCATATGAGTTTTGTGTCTGCTTCTTCATTTATATTGTTGATGAAAGTTTCCCATGACTTTTTTTTGCTTGACTTAATAATATATTTTGTCGCTGCCCTGTGTTTTTTTAAAATTATATAATCAATTTCATTTTTTGTTTTTTTGAATTTATTGAGTGCTTTGTTTTTTAATTTTATTGCGTTTTTGATAGCATCGTTCCACCACGGCACCTTTGGTTTTTTTTGTTTATTCATACTCTTTCCTATCGTAAGTTCGGCTGTTTTTATTATAGCGTCCGTGAATGCTTTTGTTAGACTGTCTATATTTAATGTGTCTAGATTTTGTATGTTGTCCATTTCCACTTCTAATAGTTCTGTGTATCTAACCCAATTTGGGTCTTTTAAGTTCCATCTCTCTATTGTGTCATTGGTTACTGAGTTGTGTGACCGAGATAAGATTTGAAGTATTATGGGAAAATGGTCACTGCTTGTTAAATTTGGTATTACATTCCAGTCGATTCGTTGCGCTAATGATGTGCTGGCGAATGATAGGTCAATGTTAGATAGGTTGCCATTTATTGGATTTAGTCTTGTAGGTTCGGTGCTATTTAATAATATTATATTGTTGTTTTCAAGGATTTTATCTATAACTTTACCTCTTTGATCAGTATTTTTGGATCCCCAAATTACGTTGTGGCTATTAAAGTCACCTACAATTATAAAAGGTTGTGGTAATTGTTTTATGATATTGTTAATATCCGTGTCATTGAATGATTTGTGATTAGGTAGGTATACATTGCATATGTTGATATCGCTATTTGTTAGTTTAACTGTGACCACTATCGCTTCAATGTCTGTAGATATGTTTAATTGTCTACTCGGGTAATTAGTGTTCACATATATGGCCACTCCGCCCACTCCGCCACTTGCCCTTGCACTATCTAATCTGTTTTTATTGTAACCGTCATAGTTGGTTAGGTTTGTTATGTTTTCGTTTTTAAAATTCGTTTCTTGGATGCATATAATATCTGGATTATGGTCTTGTATTAAAATGGAGATTTCTTCATATTTTTTATCGAATCCGTTCATGTTCCACTGTAGTATTTTTATATTATTGAAATTATCAGGGTTCATTTTTTTTTTTTTTTTTTTTTTTTTTTTTTTTTTTTTTTATTTTTTTTTTAATATTATATAATGAATTGACTTATTTATGCTTCAGAACCAGCTGATTCATAACTGTCTTCTACTATCTTTCTAGCGAAACGAGTTAGTCTATTTTTTATGCTTTTATTTTTTAGTGTAGGTTTTATTTTTAATAAAATGTCGAGTAGTTCTTCTTTTGTAATCTTATATTCTGTAAAGATGTCATGTGGATTGAAATCTCCTTGGTTATTTTCAAAAAGATGTTTAAATGTAATATAATCAATTTTTAAATCTTCGTTTTCATTGAAGATTTCTTCCGCCGGACCTAGATTATTATCTAAGTTTTCTAGGAATTGTTTGAGAGAACTAGAGATTGTTTTAGGTTTTTTTGTTTCTTGTATTGTTTTTGGTTGGATTTCTAATATGTTAGAATGTGAGGGATTGTCAATGACTATAGGTGTGTCTAGTAAAGAGGGGGAGGGGAAATTGAAGGACTCAGGGAGAGACCTTTTAGTGCCAGATATCGGGTCTAAATCCATATCAAATGTTTGATCTTCTTCATTTGAGGTGATTATTAAATTTTCTATTTTTGATTTGGTTTTGTATGTATTAACAGAGTTATTATCATTTATGTCAATCTGAGTTTCAATTATGTGTTCTTCAAGTTTATTCGGGCAATTTGAGGCAATGTGACCTTGAGTTTTGCATAAGAAACATGTTAACGAGTCGTCTGATATAAAAATTCTGTAGTTTGTGTCATCATAGTTAATTAGAATAGAACTAGGGAGTTTTTCTATGTCATCATGGTTTATAAATGTTTGGCGACGAAAGCTCAGAATGTGGGAAAATTCAGCGTCTTGTATACCTGCTCTTAAGAATGATATGTTGCTTCGTAGACCTATATTGAGATTATTGAATTCATTTTCTATGGCTTCGTGGGGTATGTTGGGATAGACATTAGATAGGATTATTCTTTTGTTTGGGTTATGTAATTTGCGGATTTTGAATTGTTGTTCATTGACTGTTATAATTGGGTAATTTATAATGAGATTGTCTACTAATGCTTTATTAGTGAGGAATATGCACAATCGTTTATTCGATATACGGGATGCAAAAATGATATTGACCGGTTTTACAATATTGCCGATAGCGATAATATAGTCTTTGTGCGGGATTGCTTCATTTATGTCTATTAATATTGCTTGTTCTTTTTTCGGGACTAGACTGTTTGCTACAGTTGTAGCAAAGGATTTTTTGTTTACATCTGCGGATATTTGAGCTTCGATATTGTTTGTTGATGAGGAGGTTTTTTGTGGGGTAAGGATTTGCTGAGTGATTTTTGTTACTAGTGGTGTTGGTTTCAATTTTAAGATCTGCGGTGATTTTGTTTGGTTGATTTTACTAGATGGTTTTGTGACGATTGACTTTGGGGTGCTTAGTGAGTTTTGACGAATTGATGGGCTTTTCATCGCTGGTTTTTTTGAAAACATGTTTAAGAGTTTAGGGCTTGCGCCCTGGTCGTTATTATTTTGTACACTTGTCTACGGTATTAAATAATTACCATAATTACCTGCGTACGTTGACTGCGTTGACTGTTTGCTATCGAAGCTAATAAATGCGGAACTCGCGATAAGAAACGTGTTGTCTGTACGCAGTATGAACACGAACTAATCAATTAATTATCGAGTAAAGTAACACAATTTTAGATACTGAGTGAAACGATGAATGTATTGATTTTACAATGATGTGTGTTTTTTTTTTTTTTTTTTTTTTTTTTTTTTTTAATTTTCAATTTTTTTTTAATTTTTGTGTCTGTCATCACGTTTTAGAACAGTAAAAATGCTTGGATTTTCTTCAACATTAGCTTTTCTGATAGAAAAGTGAATCTAGTTGGTACTTTGGGGGGTCAAAAGTAAAAATTTCATAGTATTTTTCACAAGCGCCGGGAAAAAACAACATAAAAATTAAGGAAAAACGGGAATTTTTACGCAAAATCAGTTTTCCAAAAAATCGATTTTGGTTTTTGGTGTAACTCTAAAAGAAATGAATGTATATACATGAAATTTTCACTGGTTGTTTATATTTGCATTTTATTTACACGATAACATTTTCAAAATATTTTGATTTATTCTGAACTGTTTAGGGACATTTTCATTTTCCATTTTTTTTTTAGTTTTTTTCTAAAAATATCAATAAAATTTTATTTGTTGGTTGCGAAAGCTTGAAAATTTAATAGAAGGCTCCTAATATATTGTTTCAAAGGCAGATGAAAAATATTAAAAACCCTTAGTCACAATTTTTTTTTATAAGCATTTAAAGTTCAAAAATTGACAAAATATGGGAAAATCACGAAAATTAGCAAATTATTTTGAGTTAAGAATTCGTAAAAATTTTTCTTTTTAAATCTAAGATTTGAAAATTAAACACAAGATTCCTTATAAGTTTGTCTACCTTTATCAAAAGAAAAATGTCTATAAGAAAGTCAAATTAAATTTTTATGAGCGTTTGAAATTCAAATTTTTACAACATTGAATATTCACTCGATTTCCCATGTAGCGATTTCCTTATTTTGTTGTAATTCAAAAACAAATAACTGTAGATACATGAAAATTTCACTGAATGTTTAAATTAACATTTCCTATACACCATACAATTTTGAAAATATTTTGACTCTTTTTGAGCTGTTTATGGACCTTTACAGCTTTCAATTTTTTTTAGTTTTTTTTTCTATAAATATCAATAAAGTTTTAATGTTGGGCCAAAAAGTGTAAAAATTTAATACAAGGCTCCTGATATATTGTTACAATAGGAGTTGAAAAATATTAAAAATACATAGGCACAGTTTTTTTTTATAAGCATTTAAAGATCAAATTTTGACAAAATTTATCAAAATCTCGAAAATTATCAATCATTGAAATTAATAAATTATAAAATGCTCAGTTTTTATAGCTAAGGATTGCAAATTTAAAACAAAGGTTCTCATAAATAGTTCATACTGTAACCAAAAAATCTAAAAAATATATGAACACACTTATTTTTTACAGACATTTTAATTTCAAATTTAGATAAAATTTCATATTTAAACCAAGAATTACGATTTTAGTTATTTTGTTGTGATTGAATAATATTATTCGTGGGTACTTGTAACTTCTAAAGTGTACTATTATATATCTATGATAGTATCACGGTTTTTGTAGATGTATAACGCGTTATAATTACCTAATGGACATTGTGATATGATTAATTTGGAATTTATTATAGGCACCTATTTTAGGTCAATTTTTTTTAATACCATAGATAAGTATATAATATGTCTTATACCTAGACTGACATACCGTCTCCGCTCAGAATCGTTTTCTTATACAATTATATTATATCATTGAATTCAAATTTAATACCATCCATTATACAGTGACCCACTTGTAACCTACTGTACAGCAGAGCACCTTTTTTTTTAATATCAATCTATTATTTTCCAACCATAAGATGAAAGATATCTAAGAAGTAAGAAACTAAGAACTAATAAGGAACATAATATTGTGTATAGGATATAGTATAATGAGCAATAATTTTTCTTTTTCAAATTAAATTTATAAAAAAATAACGTTTGGTTAAGCCGAGCTAAATTAAAAATGGGTAAATTGAATTAAATCAATTATTGTATTCAGTTACTTTATCACATATTATATGATATAATATATTAAATTGTTTTATTGATAACTATAGGTATATATAGGCATGAAAAGCAAAGTCATCAGCGTTACTAATGAGTAAGAACTAAGAAGTAATAACTAAGTTGATATTACATAATTATAGCTACATAATTTAAATAAGAAACAAAATATAGAACGCAATCAAAATGGCACAAGTTAGATATTGTTAATTTTAATATTAATATAATATAATTCCGGTAAATGGAGCAATTAGGTAGGTTGTGGTGTCAGCCTTCCGGGTACGGTGCTAGAAGATCTCATATTATTATTATATTATATTTAGCTCGTCTATGATCGTTTGCATCTGTTTCATTCCGTGAGTGAATGTTTAACAGATACAGAAAGGGTTCATGAGTCGTCAAGTGGTTGTTCTTGTCCACTCATAGGGTATTTGTACGTTAGATTAGAATGGTCTATTCCAAGCATAATATTAATAACGGTTTGGATATTTCGTAGAAGAGTGAACAGAGTTTCTGTGAGGGATAAGCTTTTGATTGAACACAACTAATTATACAAAGTCAAAATTATCGTTACGTTTATTTAATGTAATACTAGATCAAAATTAGGAAATTCGGAAATCGTTTTTAAAATCTGTATACATAATATTATTACTTCTCATAAGTCATAAAAATCCATAAAATTAAATTATTTTTATCACACATTCGAGATGTTTTTCAACTTCATACTGTAAAATAAAATTAAAAATATACCACATAATATAAGTTTTATGCTTAATGTAAAAAATTTAAATTTTCCCTACAGTGATTGGTTTTTATTTTACTATAGTATTTTTACATTCAACTGCGAATCTCTGTAAACATTAATAATTCATATAGTATCTTATTTTTCTTTTTTAACCAGCTAATTTTTATTAACACGTATTTATTAAGGAAGTTCAATAAACAATACTTACGAACACTTTTGAAGTTAATTATACATTTTATTATTTCAAAATAAAAACTTAATGTTATATTTCAAGTAATAAACTAAAATACTACGTAGAATTATAAATAATAGGCATATTGTAGGTATAACATTTTCATTGTCTCTCATCATTATCGGTATGACGAGAGGGACTAAGAACTGAGAATCTTCACTTTTCACCTCCCAAATGTACCTACTGACTAGATCCAATTTTCTACCAGAAACCACCTTCTAAGTTAAATTGAAAATTATTGTGTTTGTAATAAATGTATCAATGCCTCATAACCGTTACTTAATACAGTAGATACCAGTAGTAAACGAATACCGGATTCCGGTATCAACACAATAATACTAATTAATAATAAATATTAATAATACATAATACTAATTCTCAAATTAGCAATTACATAATTTGATGAATCAATCTCTGGGTAGTACGTCATGTAGTTATTATCAATGTGTGGTGAAAAATAACCACCACCATATTAATATCATAATATAATATATATTTTAATTAATTTAATTTCAAAACAAAAAATATTAATAAAGGATGAGTAAAAAAATTATACTATGAGTCTAGGTCAAAAATTTATAATAGGTACTATTGTTATAAAAAAAATAATAGTAACATTTTTACTAAATAAACAATAGTATTATAACCATGGGAACGAAAGTCACTGTGAATTTACAGATGGATGATTAGATACAATAGTCGTATAACCATATTTTACAGTCCACATTCGTTTATCTAGTATTATGGAATGAAGGTGCCAAAATTTACTTACATACAATATAAGGAGCTTTTACACAAACTGTAATGTTTATTTCAGTTCAGTTTAGCCTTTGAACATTTTATTTTATTATTTTTAAATTAATTTATCTATTCATTTTAAATAAATTGAATAAGATTGGTTACTACAATAATTGCAAATGGTATACAATTTAAAAGCCTTTACCGAAAGACGACATTTCCTATATATGAACTATTCCTACAATTAAACAACTAAACGTGTGCCTGCAGTAACGTTTGTTAAGTAATTTGTTACAATCAGTGAGTCATAAAAAAAAAATAATTAAATCCATTATACTTGCGCACCGACCCATGTATATGCTAATGCAAAATTCTTTTGCTTATAGTGTAGCCTTTGACTTATTGTTTTTCGTCCGTTGCACATAAAATAAAAATCATTACCAAAGAAAAAAAGATCGGTTTTAAAAACATTTACAAACAACAGCCTTTAGTATATAAAAATATACATGTACTTTTCTTGTAATATTTAAAATACTTAACTTGCTTCACCCGTTCACCTAAAGCCGTTTCTCTTGAGAAGAAAACTCGTTAATGAGGATATTTTAAAACCGGAAATGTAGGGAAAATCTCTTTGAAAAAAAGCTTTTTTATACGTTTTATTTTATATTTTTTTTGGTTTTATTTGCATGTACGAATGTTTTTCAATGATAAATATATACAGAAAATAGTTATGTAATTGCAAATGTCATATTAATGATTGCGTTTAGTTTTAAACCCAATATTATAAAAAATAAAAAGATAAAAGAAAGTCAATAAAAAACATAAAAGAAATTTTTTCTTAAAAAGGGTAAATAGTATAATATATTTCTTTTCTCCAAGATACTTTAGTTGTATTAGTATTTTTTTCTTTTGTGTTTTTAGTCACACGTTTCAATACTTTATAAGGATTAAATTGCATTTGATGAATTCATGGAATTAAAAAAAAAAAATGAATTTATATTATTTTCATTTTTATTAAATTTGTATTGAATAAAATTGAAAATGTACGCATGAATTCTTGATGGAAAAATATGAGCAACTAATATGTAAAACTTGTGGAACA